CAGGGGCGCCCCGCAGCCTCCCACGCGGGAGACGCTCTCGCCAAACGCGAGAAGAGGGATCCTGCCGCCTTCCTTCAAAACTACTAATTAATAACCACCTGGGGAGGGTGGGGTGGGTTGCTTCTACGAGCACGCGTGGGACAGCTCCTGGGAGCTGCGCCCCGATGCAGAGTACGCGGGGGAAGCACCGCGGGCCCCATCCCTTGCGCATCTTCACCAGCCGCTAGTAAAACCGCGGCACCGCCACCGCCGTTGCAGCCACCTCTCGGCTCACACCCCGCAGCGCAGCACAGCGCAGCACAGCCCGCACCCTCCCGCCGCGGCTGAAATGATACCACAAACGCCGTGAAACGTTTACCTGCCGCTGGAAAGATTCAGCCCGTTGTCTTCCCGGTGACAATTTACATTTCGGTATTTCCTTTCCCCCGCGGCATTAATGGTTACCGCAAGCATCGCCAATCTTGAAACGATGTTTTAAAATTCCAAGAGTAAATGCTACAACAAAATAAATTAAAATAGCTGGTTATTAGAGTAGCCAAGTATGATTTCATTTTCTCTTTAAACTCTTTAACCAAACCCGTCGTGTTTTGTTATTAGTGGAACGACTTAAATTTTCACAAACAATCTTCATATTTTAAAAATCTCTCTTCTGATGCATAAATCTATTTTTATGGAAATCTACGTGTAATGTAAGAGCGAAAGATTTGTTGATTATCTTTGCCGATATTAAAGATCGTCTAAGTTTATAAGATCTGCCGCTTCTTATGAGTACACACAAAACCAAACCACTCTCGGACGCAGCCCGTGCCCGTGACGGGGACAGTGCGCTGCCCCTGCTGACACCGCCGGCCCCCGAGGCGTGATCCCCCGCACTGACCGCACCGGGGCTCCTCGCACACCGCAGCCACCCCCCGCACTGACCGCACCGGGGCTCCCCGCACACCGCAGCCCCCCCCCCGCTCTGGCCGCACCGGGGCTCCCCGCACACCGCAGACACCCTCCACCCCTCTACCCGCAGGGGCCTTGCGGGGAGGTGCGGAGTCGGGAGCGGGGCTGCTGCTGGATTTGCTCACTTTTGTGATGGACCGACACCTGAGGTTGGTCCCCTTCATCTCTGGCTCTAAAATCGACAACGCACATACAGAAATCGAGGTCTTTGGCCAGCCTAAGCGGAGTATTTAATTTCTCGTGAAAACTAGATCTTCCTTGGTACAAACAGAAAAAACCTTTCCCGCAGCGGAGTATTTTTCGAACTAGTGCGGTTTGGTTTGGTGTTTTGGGGTGGGGGCTTTTTGTTGTTGTTTTTTCTTTTCTTGAAATAACCTAGCTTGATAATTCTTCTTGAAAGGGAAGGATCCCTTAGGTCTGCGTTATTCCACCTGGGAGGAAGAACTGCCGAAGCTCGTCCAACTCTTCGCCTCTCTCGCACTTCCCAGCGGTGAAAGAAGACGACCCCTTGGCCACCACCGCATCCTCCCTCCCCGCGGCTGCCGGCAGCGCCCGGCGCGCGCGCGCGG